CTTCGATAGAGGTGCAGGACGTTATGTAACAGTGACAAATGAACCCACAGTGAGGACAGATGTGCGGTCACAGCTGCTTGGAGTTCAGCGGGTTGACAGCCCCGCCTCTTACACCTTAAGCTGCAGCTTGCACCGTTTGCTAATTGTGTTGTTTCGACTTTCAATTTGAAGCTGAAGGAGTGAAAACAAAGCGAATGGAGTCTGAGCAGTGTGGGGCAGTACCTGTGGGGGGGCTGATGCACGAGGGGCTTTTGTTGACCTGGATGGGCTCGAACGTCGGATCCAGATCCATGATGAGCTGGTTGAGGTTTTCCAGGGAGATTTCGAGATCGGCGTCGTCGTGGTGACCGCTGGGCTTGGCGAGGCCGGGGTGCTGGCCGACCCCCGAGTCCGGCGCCGGGTCCAGGCGGATGGTCTGACCCACTCTCAGGACGTGGTTGGGTATCACGTGGGACATGCCTTTGGCTGCAGGCATCATGTTATTAGAGCTCACCGTCTTCTGGGAACACAGTGCAGAGAGATCAGTGACTTTTGTTCTGGTTGCAGACACACACCCTTTATAACGGCTCCTTTCCCACGGACTTGGTGGAAAATGAATCTCATGTTCGTCACACGTAAACACCTACTGTAAGGTTTTAATTGCTGTTTTTTGGTAAATGGCAGCAAACAGCAGCTTCAAGTTGGATTTGTGGCCGTTCCAGTTTAACAATAGCTAAGATTTACATCACAATTTAGAGCAATTGTTTGATCACTCATCAGTAGTTTGACACTTAATTGGTTTGAATCATATTGTTCAAGCAAAAAAAGTCAAAATTCTCTGATTGCTGCTGCTTAAAAGTATAGTTTCTGGTTTCTTTCCTTCCTTCTCTAACTGCAAATGTCTTTAGCTTGTGGACAAAACAAGAGAAATGCTGATCAAGATGTTTTAGTTGATTAGTCTTAATTGAGAAAATAATCAGCAGATTAATCAGCAGTGAAGGTCGTGTGTGGTTGCAGGTTTATTGCAGTTGAATCCAGACAGGAGTTTGGTTGATGGTTACACAGAAATTTGTGCATTTCTGACCGTTAATTTACAGAAATGCTGCACAAATGACCAAAACTGGTTAAAAATACACAGCAGTGTTTGAGTTGTTTTCATGTCGGTGCTGGTAACTTTCCTTTGGCGCTGACTAAAACCTCTCTGGGGAGCTGCCAGAAATTCCTCAATGCAGGAAAAAACCCCAGTGTTGTCTGGTACTGGGTTATTTCATCACCGTACATTCACTGCACTTCGGTGATTAACTTTCCTGAAGTCGTGATGGAGTAAAACAAACGCTGCGTGTCCGACTAAGTCGGTACTTGTTGCCTGGTTGTCTTGCAACAGCAATGACACAGGCTGAGTAAACGTTATATTCCAGCGCTGATATCGGCATGAATAGCCGTCCGTGAGGCAACACGAGGGGGAGGAGGATCGGCCCATTCTCTGTCAGTACAGACGAGGCGTGGTGCCCCGTGAGTCAGCCAGGTGACTGACCGTTGCCATGGCGATGCTGGTGTTTTGATAAAAACTTTCAGTGATATTTTGGAGAGTTGACTGAAGATGGAAATCTTTTGGAAAACTCTCATAATTCAGTTCTGCTCCGGTTCAGTGACACAGTGTGCATGGAGAACAGTTGGCATGTCGCTTTTAAGGTTGTTGTTTCTTTAACTCAGAAAATGTAATTAAATGACAGAGTCTCTGCTATGACCTGCTGCAGAAATAATCATTTTTAAAAGACAGAAAATGGTCAAAATGAGTTCCTGTTGCTGCTCCACTGACCGTCCATGCACAGTTTCTTATGTTCTGTAACATATCTCAAGGCAAAGAAAAGTCCTCTTACCTTGTATTCTTCTCTTTCTTGTGTGATTCTTCTCTGTTATCGCCGCTTTACTCTCAGTCTGTCGTTTGCTTTACACCTCGTGCGTGTCATGCTTTTATTAATGAGATCCCAGCCCTTTTCCCGACCAGCCAATCAGCAGCCGGGATCACACGTCCCTGTGACTGCAGCTGGTGATGTCATATTAGCAGTGCAAAGTGTATGACTGGAGGCGAGGTGAAATCAGAGCCACGCTGTCGGGATGTACACCCACTCATCATCACTTCTACGGTAGTGTGATGGAAAATACAGGAACAAAACATAGTGTCATATAGTTTTTTTACATTATATACGCCCTCCACTTTGCTCCCACGCTGTAGTCAAAAGCTGGGAGCGTTTTATTAGCTGTAAAGTGAGCACAGTCAGCGCTTTTGTTGGATTTGACAAACGCAGCTGACAGTATTTTCCGGTCCGACTGTCCTCTGGGTGTACTACCTTTGTTAAACTGCTAAAGAAGCCCCCATGGCTCACCGTTATTGTTCCATTGTGCAGTCGGTCTCACTTTCAGTATCAAATAGCTTCAGAAAAACTTGGTTGCACGCGATGTATAGAAATGAAATGAATTCTTGTTGTATCAGATGTCCCGCTTTGTTTGAGGTGTAAAGCTACAGTACGCAGTATTTACAACACGTCCGTTTCTTACTGCGGGAACTTTGGTGCGTGTTCTAGCTGCGTGTTCTGTAGAATCTCGTTTTAGAAGAAGGAATATGTACCGACTCCGGATGGCTGTCGCATGATTGAGATTAACGGGTATGTTGAGCTTAAAGTCAGAGTTTTCAGTGTCTCTTTTAGCCTGATACGTCACCACGGTAACTGATGCGGTTCAGTGTGGAGTAAACAAAAAAAAACAGCCGCTCGTCCTTTCTTTCTCCGATGGTTACTACTTCTGAGTAATGCGTATTTTTAGCCGAGGTTTTATGCAGACCTGTGGAGCAGTAGTCGAAGCCGTCCAGTTACGGTTGCGCAAGCTGTGTGTGTGTGTGCAGTGTTGCCACGGGAACGAACATGCAATCATTTGGTGACGCGAAAAATGCATCAATATGCTTGTTTTTGTTCCTGTTTTACAGTGCTGGTACCACTGGCAACTAAGAGAAAAACACAGATTAGAAGAGTGATGACTCGACCGGTATTTATCACAGAGAATATTCACGTATTAACAATAATAACAATAATAACTTGATTTATGTAGCACCTTTAAAACAAAACCAAACAGAAGGAGAAACAACAGAGAGGCCAAAGTGTAGAAAAAGAGTTGAAAGTGGAGAAAGATTTTCAAAATGAATCAATACAAAAGCATCAGTTACAATAATTAAAAAAGGAAAAAATCAATAAATGCAGCTAAGGAAAAAGAAGAAGGGGAATAAAAGAACATTGAGGGTAAAACCATAAAAACAAAACTAAAAGTAGTAATAATAGTGGTACAAGTTAAATAAACAAAGGACAAAAGAGAATGAAATGAACAACAGAGTAAAGGAAACGTGCTAAACAATTAGACTGTTCATTTGCCCAACATTTGTGTTCTTCCAACAGTTTGCTCGTCAGAAGTCTCGTTAGTGCCCATAGACACTTTCTCATAACGACAATAAATCCCGGCTGAATTCTACAGAGCTTACGGCATCTTAACTCGGCGCCACCGACGGTCACAGGCTTCTGCTTAATGATGACACTTCAGACCAACTTCTGCTAAATTCTGCTGACTAAATTTCAGCAGCACTTACGTGGATCCCCTGGTTTGACTTTTCATCATGTCACCATCGGGGCTTTTGGACATGGGTTCTTCTTTGTGATTTCACTTTTGGTTTCATCGTTGACTCTGTTTTTCATGCGCTGCTGCGTGGTCACATGACGCAGCAGTTAAAAAGAGAAAAATAATGTTGAATTTATAATTTTTTATTTTGTTTTTTAACACAGAAAAACAATGAAGGTGTGTTTGGTTTCTATGAAGTTAAGATTTAATCCAAAATATCACCTATAAGCTTGTACAGAATCCTGCTGCTTCCTAAACGAGTGGTTTTTCTGATTTATTAAGTCCTTCGATCACCGACTAATAATTGTTTTACACTTTAAGCAAAGGCTGTCGGTGGTTTATTCTCACTCTTGGGGAATTTCTCCCTGAAGGTAATGTGAGGAAACTCTGTTTCATAACAATGTTGTGTCTAATGTCACAATTGTTTTTCTCCCTTTGGGCTCATTTTTCTATAGAATCCTGCACCTCTGTGGAAACAGCACAACCATGACTAACGGCAGAGAACTGAAAGTGGCTTTTGTGTTGCCTATCATAGTTAGAATCAGTGGCGGCTGGTTAGTACAGGGTGCAGGGGTGCCGCCTCACTACGAATGACCAGATAAAAAGTAGTTCTCAAATGTAAAATTAAATTTGAATTAATCATAACAAAATAATAACAAAACAATAATAAAGTTCATATTATTTTGCTAACAATATTTGTATCATTAACAGATTTAATATTAGTCTTTACTGTGTGTTGACTAATTCTACACTTCCTGGATGCAGGACGCCGCCACATGAGTGTGTATGCAGCTCGAAAAACTGTCCGTGATCATGTGACCTCGGCCCGGACTCTGATTGGCAGCTGCAGACTGTCTCACGGGACGCAGCTCGGTGCGTCCAGGACTCGTCCACTTTTGCTGTCAGCCAAGTAATTTTGTCTTTATTTGCTTTTGTCTTCCGTGGTTGGATATCAAAACTGTCCTTCGACATTCTTACGACTGCGCTTTCTGACGCTGTCACATGGCCTTCCCCCTCCTCTGCTACTAGATCACAGTGACTGTCGTGACGACTTAATGCATCGGCCTGCTGTCAGTGGAGAAAAGACGGCTCGTAGAAAAGACCGCGTGTAGAATTTATGTAACTCGGCTTAACCTCGAACCAATCCGACATTAGAACTTCCAGTTTATTATGTTTAAAGTCATTTTTGGTCACACACCTGTCAGAGCACACCACAGCCACCAAACAGCACCTACCGCAGCCTGCTGTGTGGGGCGTTCAGGGAGCAACAGTAAATCGTAGCGTCTATTGATAAGAAAATGTTCAGAAAGTCATTTGCCGTTGACCAGGTGGGAGGGAATGAGAAAGTGGTTATAATCCCACAAATCATAAAAAAACAGAACCCAAAAATGATACCTATGTTTGATTATTAATTTTACCCAAAAGATTTTTAAAACATGGAACCAACGTGAGCAACATTTTTGGTTTAAAATACTGCAGGTTGCTAAAAACAGAAATTAAGCTAAAAAAATCACAGAATTTTTCTCAGGTGATTGTCAGTTGCAGCTGAGTCAGTCATGACTTCTCGGTTGCTCTGAGAAATGCAGAATTTTTAGTTTTTTACAGAATCTATCGGCACTATTTTGGTAATTTTTAATAAAATGTTGAATGAAGTTTAAGCTTCGATTTGGTTAAAAACTGGATTTTCTCTGTCTTTTCAGTTCCTGGTCGTTTGGTGGATTGTTTTTGGGAAGATAACTTACATTTCAAATCTGGGATTCAAAGAGTTAACGGTGGACCTATATGGTAGAAAAACTCCCTGACGTTTATGTCACATGACTGTTGGTCGCATTAGAGTCACTCATGGCTTCATAGACCACAAGACAAGTTTTGTTTCTGTTTATAGATGGATGGATTGGTTGATAGATTTGTGTATATCCAGTGTGGGAAAAAAAATACATTCATATCTAAAAAACAACCAAAAACACTCTAAATATGAAGTAAAATCTAAATAAACAGACGTGTGTTCTCTAATATGTCGAACACATGTCGGTGTTGTGCAGCTGGTTTGTGTATCTGGATTGCATCAGGGCGGTTCCTCCTCCTCCTGCCAGCGATCACATCATCTCACAGAAAAGACATCCTGCGGCGTTCAGCCTGTGAGTGAAGGCGCTCTGCTGATTCACCTGCAGGGCGTGGAGGTGGACGTGTGGGATTTAGCAGAACTGACTTCAGTTTACACAGACGTCTCACTTTTGAAAATTTTCCATTTCGGTTTCGATGATGTGGAGCTGGTCTTTACAGGATCTGGTCTGTGCAAATCGTTTGGTTTTTTGGTGAATATTTTAAATGAGACGTGTAAAATAGTGGTTTTAATACAATATCAGCATTTGAAGCTTGGACTTCACAGATGAGTCATTCAAGGAGCATCAAACAGTTGAAAATCCCACATTTTTTTTTTGGTTTTTTTGTTTTTTGCTTTTGTTAATTTTTTCACTTTGGTTGTTTTTTTTTTAAATACAACATGGGGTTCTGAGGGTTTAAGGCCAGTCTTACAACCAGCCGTACCAGTGTGTTTGCTTGGTTACTTACCCAGTTTACAAAGCGAGTAAATGTATTTGACGTACATAAATGTGTGCAGCAGCCAACCTGACGCGTTTTTTGTCGCGTAATTTTAAAGAAGCGACTCCATTTTTCCACAAAGTATAATTTTGGAAGCTACTACGCTGGATATCTAGAAGCTAAATTACTCATTTTTTAATTGAATTTGCACATTAATTTGCACTAACTTGAAGCTGCATTTGTTATTTTTTTTGCTGGTGTAATTTAATAAATGATTTTAATCTTTTATGACATGCACAGTTTTATTGTGTACAGATATGTTGATCTTGATTCTCGTAGAATGTTGTCAACAGCATATAATACAGAAAAAAGGCAAAATGGAGCAGCACAGAACCAGGATTTGTTCAAGTGGTTTAATGGACAGTTTTAAATGGATCAGTAAAAATGATGCAAGTTTCTTTTTCCAACATAAAGAGTTTCTTAAAACACGGTTCACTGTAACAAATGAAACGACAACAAAGCTTTGTTAGAATAATGAGAGAGACAAAAACAAGATGACCTGAGGTTTGCATGTGCATGATAACTTCTGCTATTTACATGTGAAAAATATGTTTGATTTGAGACGTTAGTCCAAATGTTCAACAGTCCGCGTGGTGGTTTGGTCTAAAATGGATTCAAGGGGAGAACGTGGTGGTGGTTTCGGTGTCGGTGGTGCCGGAGCTCCTCCTCCTGCCGCATGTGTACTTGAAGAACCTCTCCTGGCTCATGCAGCCCAAATCCTTCAGCAGCTTCAGCAGGTCGTTGCGGAACTTCACCCCGATGAAGGCGTAGACGAAGGGGTTCAGGCAGCACCTCAGCAGCGCCACACACTGGGTGATGTCGGTGGCGTAGAGGAGGCTGTTGTCGTACCAGCAGTCGCTTGTTCCCCCTTTCGCTGTCACAACCGTGGTCCAGAACAGGACGACGTTGTAAGGAACCTGGCAGAGCAGGAAGACGCCGACCACGGCCAGGATCACCTTGATGGCCTTATTCCGCTCAAAGCTACGAGCATGGCAAAGCGTCTTGACGATGCTGCTGTAACAGAAGGTCATGACCAGGAGAGGCAGGATGAAGGCCAAGACGATCTGACTCGACTGGATGCTGACTCGGAGCGGGTCGCTGCCGCTGGAAAACGGGGTGCAGGTCTTGTTGTAGATGTTGGTGTAGTACATCTCAGGTATGGAGAAGGTCAGCGCCGTCACCCAGATGATGGCCGACGACACCTTGCTGAAGAACACCGCCTGAGATCGGCGGCGGTGGGCCGAGACGGCTTTGGAGATGGCAAAGTAGCGGTCCACGCTGATGAAGGACAGCAGGAACATGCTGCTGTAGAAGCTCACCTTGTAGACGGTGTGCATGGCTTTGCACATGAAAAGGTTGAAGACCCACTCTGCCATGGAGTTGGCCGCCCAGAAGGGGAGCGACAGGGCTAGAAGGAGGTCCGCAAAGGACAGGTTCAGCAGGTAGACGTCCGTCATGGTCTTGAGCCGCTTGAAGAAGAAGACGGTGAGGATGACGAGAATGTTTCCTGTCAGGCCCAGCAGGCAGATGATGGAGTAGAAGGTGGGCATGAACCAGAGGCGGAACTGGCGGTTGGATTCCTTCACGCAGAGTGTCGGAAACAGGTCATAATCCACACTGGAGCCGCTGTAGTCCGGGTAGTCCGTGAAGGTTGTATTTTCAGACAAGCAGGACTGTAATCGAAATAAAAGCAATTTAGAATCCAACTTTAAGGTTTCACTACCGTGTTTTTCCTGCCCCCTGACACAGTTCTGATGTTTTTTGGTGTACCTTCACAACCACATCCTCAGAGCAAACGCTGCTCATGAGGGGAAGGTTGTGGTTCGTTACCTGCAAAGTATCCCTCAGCGTCGGAACATCTCGTGTCTTTAACATCATGCATATTTAACCTCTTTAATAAAGCTGTGTGATTCTCTTACCTTGAAGTTAAGAAACCATATCAGCACCGTGGGCAGGAGGCTTTGGAGATCTGAAAAACAAACGGAGAGACTCTTTAGAAGATCAGGAAATGCAGTCGCACGAGTGTTCTGATCCTTTACATAAGTACAAGCACTGCCACGGCATTGTGAAAGTGCTCCGTTACTAGCAAAAGTTCACATTTTGGATTAAAAACAAAAGTACTCAATGCAGAAAATTCTTCCCACAACTGTTTTGCATAATAGGAATATTATTACTCATGCATTCATGTAAAAGCAGGATTTTGCTGCTGTGGTTGGTGGAAGCGGAGCTCATATCGATTTGTTTTTGTATCCGGCTGCAAGTTCTGATTATTTATGGGTTAATCTGCTGATTATTTTCTCAGCTAATGATTTGATTGTTTCTGAAAATTCTAAACAAAAAACAAAAACCAAAACAGAGAAATGTCGTCACAACTATCCAGAGTCCAAAGTGTCGCCTTCACAGTGCCGCTACTGTCCAAACCCTGCAGTATTTTTTAAAAATGCACTAAAATTATATCAAATCTTCACATCTGTCAAATTGGAGACATTTTTTTAAATGTTTAAACAACTTAAATCACAATATTTACCAATTAATTTCCTGTCAATCTACTAATAGAACTAATTGCTGTGCTTGAATAAACGGTTAAACAGTGCAATTATGAACAAAACATCATAATTTATATTGTCTTTAAGTGGTTTATTTGCAAAAAATCTTAATTTGTAAAGTAACTTAAAGCCGTCATATAAATGTAGTGAAGTAAAAAATACAGTATTTCCTCTCTGAGATGTGGTCGACTACAAAGAAAAGACTGAAGTACCTCAAAATGTTTTTTACGGAATTTGAGCAAATATACTGAGCTGGATTCCGCCACTGGTATTTTCAGGAAGCAACCAGATGAAGTGATTTGTGCTGATTTTGTTCCCTTTGAGTTTTCTGACACTAACCTGTAAGTATTTAAACCGAAGCCGTGTGAATCTAATGACTTTAATTAGGTTGTTTTCATCCCAAAGACTTTATGCAACACGTTTGGTGGCGCTCTTTGCTGCTCGTACACGGTTACTGTACTCGACTAAAGGTGCCACAGAAAGTAGTTCCTGCAGTGTAGAAATGCTCAGTTATAGGTAAAAAATCATGCATTTTAATTTAGGTTTTAGCATCAAAATAGACTAGATTCATACTTAAATTGTCAGAATGGTGTATGCTAAAGTTGAAGGTGGTGAAGGTGATTTAACTTATTTATAGCTGCAGGATGTCTTGAAAATTCACCCTCAGGGCTCAATAGTTTGATCTTAATCTGTGATATGACGTCATCATTTATCTGTTGATTATAGTTTGTAATTATTGAAGCTAATCTGCAGAGTTATCAAGTGAAAGCAGTAAAAACGCACCATGTTTGCAGCAGAAAATGGAAATACTTAATGAGCTCAAAACTGCACTCGAATAGAGAAGTACTCAAGCGTTTAAAAGGCGTATATCGTTTATAAATATGTATGCGAGTCGACTGTTTTTAGATCACATGTTCCTTATTGTTAGAAGTCAGAGACATCCTGTTCGACCAGGAGTAATGTGCTCATTGAAAAAAACTGACCTAGTTCCTTATTCTTTACAAAAGCTCTCGATCGTTTCTCAGAAAAAAACACCGAATGTGAAATTTGATTTATTACATTTTTTTAAAAGCGACTGTGTCATTAGTCCGTGATTTGATATCAATAAAAGTCAAATTTGTGTGTTTGTTGCAGAAATAAAATCTCACCAATTCATGCTGCAAATGAGACAAAACTGAATTTTAAATAAATAATCGTTAATCGTTTCCATCAACACACGCGGTTGTTACGGTTTAGCAGCGACGTCAAATCAGCCTCACAGAAGCATGTGCCACCACGCTGTGTGCCATCACCACCTCTAAACGTGCAGCTAAACGGCGTTACCGCCGCCTGGTAGACAAACGAACCATCATTAGCTTTAAGTAATACTTTCATCATTTTGGTGTTTTCTTTTTTTAACATTCATTCATTCACCACAGCAAACACACACAACATCCTTTTAACTCTGCAAAGTAAAACTACGATAACGTACTCACCGCTGACTGCAGTCATGTTGACTGGGAGCAGTTTTTTTCTGCAGGTGAAGCCACGAACACAGAGAGATAAATGTCTGTGTTTGATGGTGGTTTCCCTTTGTTGAAGCGACACTCACACACACACACACACACACACACACACACACACAAAGACATGCCTTCCTGAAACTTTTTTTATCCACAGTCCTCAGCTATCATGTGAGACATTCAGAAAACCACAAGTCCAACTAAAACATGCACAAAAAAACATCTAACTTCTGTGAAATGTTGGAATTACAAAAGGAGACGTAATTATTAGAATGAGCCAAAACCTCTTCTTGTTGGTAGCTTTGTTTTTATTTATCTTTAGTGGATTAAAAGTGCCTTCTGTCTCGTCTAACTAAAGTCGTATCAGTTGTGTTGATGTGAGTGTTCGGTGGTCCGGATCGCTTTCGACTTACTAGCAACCACTCATTTTTCTATGAAAAGGAACAACCTGAAAGGGGGGCAGCTGCTGAGGTGTAACGCGCTCCATTAATCTTTTGCAAATGAGTTGTTTCAGAGGAAGCCGGTCTGCTTTCTGTTAGAGCGACACTGGTTGATGAAAGCCACACGATGCAGCCAGTTGATACAAATCTGATGGTTATCGCCTTGATTGTGACTTGATAAGACGTAGGAGTCTGGAAAATATGTGCTTGCTTTTCTTTAAAAGAAAAAGGAAAGGAAAAAAAAAAGAGTATTGTGTGTTGTGCATCCAAAAACAATGTGCTTTTCGGTGCTACATGATTCATTTTTATGGTGCTGGACAGCAGTTGATTCCCTGCAGAGCTGCCCTTTAACATAGAGCTGCACGAGCTTCTGCACACCTGTATCTCTGCGGTTGTGGTCTGGAGCTTTCACTCTTAGTCTGTGCAAAACCACACGGTACAAAAACGCAGCAGGCTGCAACGCAAAGCTCCCCGTTCACATTTCAGCTGAAGCACTATCAAATCTGATCACTACGCCCTCCTAGGTGAAGCTGAAACCAGTGACAACATTACTCACTACCTTTAAATCTCCTCTCGGGGTTGTGACATTTGCCCCTCGTTTTTGCATTTTTTACAAATGCAACTGAGCTCTCGGGACTGCAAGTTCTGCACTGAAAACAGGAAATCAGAACAATTCCCTCTCATCTTACCCACTTCCCTTACCTGTACTGTGCAAGGACTGTGCAAGCACACTGTATGCCTGCCACCACCCTAACGTACAGCACGCTTGTTCTTTAGTCAGTTATGAACCATGGCCGCTGTGTCAGGGCTTTTAAAGAATACTTTTAGCAACATGCTGTTAAAAGCACTATATATATATTTTAATGAATGAATGAATGAATTTTTTTTAATTAAGCATGTGTCTAAAAGTATATTTATGTCAATTTCTGCACAGGCTGCTTCATGTGAGGAGTGTCGGTTAGGATCCAGGACTGGTGTCATACAAGATATATTTCAAACCCAAACTACTAACTATCAGTTTTCCCCTTCAGACAATCAGCCAGCTCGTCTACAGAGACATCCTGCGGTGTTTGCTTCGTTCAGTACGTGAGAAGAGGTGAGAGTTGTGGCAAGACAAGTCGTGGTTGCTTCACCATGACAACGAGCATCCGACAGTTCCTGGCTGAGAAGAACATCGGCGTGCTGGAGCAACCTCCCTACTCACCCCACCTGGCTCTGTGTGATTGTTTCCTCCTCCCTAAGCTCAAGGGGGTCACCAAGAGGACCCGTTTGGAAGACGTGGACGACATCAAGATGGCTGTGATGACGGAGGATCCCGGAAGAATCTTTCCAGGAGTGTGTTCGACTCACTTGTAGTTTGTAGTTTGGGTTTGAAATCTATCTTTCATGACACCAGTCCTGGAACTTTTCTGACACCTTGTTTGTCTTTTCAACATCAACAGTGTAAGGTGAAGTAATCTTGACAAACACATCATAGTTCCCACAATAGACCATCATTTACTCTGATTGAAGGGTTCTTGAATACAAGGACCCAAAGAAAAGGAACATTTTGGTTGGAGAAACAGTTGTTTTGAAATATTTCTGCTACAAAAAGGAACATTTTGCTCACAACTGATGTGTTTAGCCGTTTACACTGATCAGTCACAATATTAAAGGCCCCGTCTCGTATCTCTTCTCCGCAAATTAACTAAAATCTTACATCTTCTTTTAAATTACTGACAAGATGGTTCGTTCCACCATGACCCTGTAACTCCTGGTTTTCAGGATGTTCTTCAACAGCTCTGAGAACCAATGAGCTTCAGCTGGCCCCGCCCCCTCCAGGAAGAAAACGCTCTCTGTGTCTGTGGTCGACAGCTCACAGCAAAACAAGTGACTGCACAGCTGTAGACAGCGGGACTTTCTATTGCCTCTAACTTTCTGTCTGAGTGATCGTTTGACGCTGAAATACCTCTGAGCTGTCTGCAAAGCTGTTTGTTGTTGTTGTTATTAGCTTGCGTTCAGTGAGTTTGTCTGATGACGTTCTGCTTGAGAATGGCTCTGAAGTCACTGCTGGTTAAACATGTGGTCCTAACGGGCTTCGTTTCAGCCACTGTTCCATACTCGGTCTGCTGTCTGACAACTGAAACAAGAAAATATGTTTATTGTGACTTTAGCTGTGTTAAAATGCACTGGTGGCGTTATCGGCCTCTGACTGAATATGAACCAGTCTGGCTGCAGAGCGGCTCACTTTACCGCAGAGGAGCAGAACATAATCTTTACAAAATATGAAGAATATGAAAACATCATAGGATACTTGTGGCATATCTGACATTGTTTTACTTTCAGCTGCAACCCTGGTGGTGTAAAAAGGACGTGGGAACAACTTAAGAACAAACATAAAAACATAATTCAAAGCGGTGTAGGCCTATTAATTTATCCTACAAATACAAGCTTTGGTGCTAAAATCAGTTTACTGTTGTGGGGTGATATTGGTATGGAAATAACATATGAAATAGCTTTGACATTACATTACATTAGCCAACAGGGGAAAAAATGAATGAAGGAAGACAGGAGCTCATAGAGATCCTCGTCAGGGTGTGCTAAAGGGTTTTGCCGGTCCTGAAAAACCCTCACACTCCTCAGTGATCCTTCACAATTCACTCTCCGATGTGTAGTGGGTCTTCTGTGAATGGTGATCCCATTTTGTTGAGAACTGCTTCGTTTTCTACTCCTGAAGTTTTACAGGAGAGAAGTGATTTTCAGTGGGCGTTGTTTTTATACCCAGTGATCTCAACCTTAGCCGTGAGTTACCATGGTGATGTACCCCAGTAACAAGAGAACCACCGTCGTAGGACTGAAAACCCAGGATTTAACCTGAAGTTAGCTCGCTAACCCCAAATCCTGCTTCGTAGTACAGGCCTCTGGAGAGAAGCTAGCAGATGTAAACAACAGCTGAGTTTAGGTTGAACTGAAGCGCAACTGGAGACATAAAAAAAACACAGCAACTCAACCAGACTTTGTTTATTGGTTTAAATCAAAGTTCCCACTGTCTCTGAATGTCGCTCAGCGTTACAGTTTATAAAGAGTTCTGAAGCTAATGTTAGCCACATTAGCCTTACAACATGCTAACACTGTAGATCTTACTGTTGTTGTGGTGACGTTGCCTTCAAATATAAAAGTAATCCGCTGTGTGTTCACTTCCTCAGGTGCCAGGAGTGCATGAAGACTCTTGTGTTCGCTCTTGCAGCCAACAGCAGAACATTTGGTGAGTTTTGCTCGTGGTTCAGACGTTTTAGAGTTTAGCAGAAGCAGCTGTAGAAAGTAAACAAACCTGGTAGGCTGAGAGGCAGCTGCTCTTCCTGCACGATCTTCCTTATTGAACATGAGCCACAGATTCACGTGTGGTTGCGTGACGAGCAGCATGTGTCACCTGTTTTTCTCCATTGCTTGTTTAGTTTCTAAAACATCAGAAAATTATTGTAAACAGACAAAAAAAAAAAAAAGCCAAATGGTGTTTTCCAAACCCCACAATGACGTCCTCAAATATCTTGTTCCGTCCACAAGCCAAACATGTCATAGAGGAGGAAAGAAACCAGAAATGTCAGCAGTTAAGAAGCTGAAATTAGAGAATTTAAACTTTGTCTCTGTCACAAGTGGGATATTGTCCCATTTTCCTTCTTCTTGGAAGACTTTAAATCAGGTGAAAGAAGTAGCCTATCAAACTAGAGATCTAATAATATCCTCGCAGTAGTCTCTAAAATCACAGAAGAAAAGCAATCTGTGAGCATCCGGTGTCTCCATTAATCAATGGGGAAATTACTTTACGCCCACTGCAGTTTCTGAAAGCGTCATTCCACAGAAACGGCCAACATTTTTTTTCTGTTGAACAAGCCAAAAGTTGTTTTGATGAAAGTGGAGTCAGAGTTGTGTTTTCAGATTTGAACAAGGCATTTGACAGAGAGCTCTGAAAGTTAAATGTCTTGGTTGGAAGTTTCATTTATCCGTCAAAGCTCTGAACATTTGCTGGTTGTACAGTAGGAGTGCCTCAAGGCTCTATTCTAGGAGCAATTTCATTAAGTGTAATTAATAATAACCTTCCAGAGGTCATTGTCCAAATGTACGCTGATTTTTACTTGTGCATAATTTTAAAAAAACCAAAACGTTTCACATCATCTGTAAAATAACAGTTAAAAATTATGGCACCATTTTTCAATCCTTAATGTACAATTTTTCTTTTCTTTTTTTAAAACAACAGCAGATTTCTGAATTACATATATTAATATCTAATTTATATTATATTTTTTATTGCCTTAAATACAGTAAAATAGCTGAAATTAGCAGTTTACTGTCAAATATTATAAATAAAAAATAAATAAAAATAAATAAAATTACCATTGATAAAAATACAGATTTTTGATGTCAGTGCTTTTGTGATTTTGCAAGTTATTGATTTGTACATTCACAAAATGTTGAATATTTATAAAATAACTGTAAATTAAAAAAACAAACTGTTATATCTATACTGTATTTACTAAGTTGTTTTTTTTAATATTCTCAAAACATAAATATTACAACGTTAGGTTTGTACAAAATCCCGAAGCCCTGATTTCCACTAAAAAGTTTCCCCAAAACAACTCCAGTGAGAATTTCTTTTCA